CTGAGGTAGGGTGACCAGCTATCCTGACTTCTTCAGAGATACTCCTGGCTTTGTCTTATATAGGCGCCTATTATTCCCTATATATCCCTACATGATATTTTGCCCTACCCTGAGAGCAGAGGGAAACAAGCTCAGAAAGGCAACAGAGGTTGTGTGTGAGCAGGAGCAGCAAGCCAGAGTCATTAGCTGAGGGCTTTGAGGTGAAGGTTGTCTAGCAGGCAGGCAGAGCTGAGCAAGGAAGCAACATCCTGTCTGTTGCTGTTGGGAGCTACAGAAGCAGTAGAAGCAAGATACAGGATGATGGCCTGAAAGTATTTGATATGGGGCTACATATGGTTGGGAGGGTTATATTGTGACAAGGTACCAACAAGACATAATTACCATATAAAGAAATTGTGCCTAGATTATTTCTCTCCCTTTATTTTCTGGCAGCCCTAGTAAAGTAATATTCAATTCTGTCCTCAGAATGCATTTTAATAGGTACTCATTAGGGCTAAAACTTATTGATCCCATTGCTTGGAGCACTTTCATTGCTGGTCTCTCAGCTCATGTTACCCAGAGCATGGTCCCAGGTCGATAAAGGAATCTGGTATACCACAGCAATGTCCTGCAAAGCGTTAGCTGTAATGCATTATGGTTAAATAGACAATAAGTGAAGTAAGAGGCATATCTTTTTGGTGAATTGAACTGACAGCGTGATCAAAATGAATTAGTTAGGCAAAAAGCTGTGGTAGTTTGAAATATGGTTAAAATTGATATGTGAATAAAATGTGGCATATTCTAATTCAGATATCATTTCTTCTTTTTCCTATGCTATTCATCTAAGGTCCCCATTCAGGAAAGCAATAAAGTATATTTTCCCATGCATCTGCATTATGGAGTTCATTAAACCTGTGCTTTTCTTTGAGTACGTGTTTAAGACTGTTGGCTTTAGTAAGACTTGAAACAATACTCAAAATTAAACACATGCTTACTGCTCTCCTGAATCAGAACACTGGCTTGTGAAATAGATATTAGAAAATAATTGAGGTCAACTAAGAAAATAGTCTGCTTATTTAAGTACGGTAACGGCAAGCATGATATATTATAAAGGTAGGACACTGGGGACTCAAAAATGGGTTTGAAAGCAGATTCAGGATGTTATCTATGTGTACTCAGACCTGTGTGCAAGTGCCACTAGATGGCTTTATAAGGTTCATGCATGTATATTAGGGATGTAAAATCCCGTTAATTGCTGAACCTGTTAAACAGTGTTTATCTGGTTAACTGATTAAAGAGGGGGTGAGCTGGCCCCTCCTCCACAGATAGACTGCTCCAGCCCATATGCTTCCTGTCCTGTGCAGGGCTGGGAGCAGGCTGTTTCACATGACGGATGCCCCATTCACATCCCTAATGAAATATCTGAGAACATGAAGTCCTAAATGGAAACTACAGCTGAAAGCTTTAGAATTTGAGCCTTCCAGAAAGAATAAAAATGACCCAATTGTGGATTCTTGGGAGTTGAAAAGTGGAAATGCACAATGTAGCTAATGTATGGTCCAGAAAGGTATAATGAAATGTATAATGTGTGAAGTCTAATACCAGATAAAAATGCATTTAGGCCTGGGTAGTTATCATTCCGAAAATGCAGTGCTGAATTCCATGAAAAATCCCAGTATCACAAAGTAAGAACATTTTGCTGATAATGTAACAACTAAGACTCTAAAATGCCAATAATTTTTTTTAAAAACCAAAACATAATCTATGTGAGTGCTGAATATCTCTATGGAAATCATTCACAACCAATTTTACAGAAAGGTATCTATTTTAAGTATGCTACTATGAAACCTTTAGTGAAGCAGATTCAGATATCTCATTGTAGAGTGCGCGCTCTCTCTCTCTCCCTCTCTCTTTCTCTCTTTGTAATCTCTTCTCATCTTTGTAATATGTGCATGTCTCCTAAGTATTTAAAAAATAGATACTGAAAGGCATCTTAATATCAGATTTCCATGAATTCTATGGAAATGTAAGTTGAAAAGTTGGCAGTTGTGGCAGTTTGGTATCAAAAATATAGTTGATCGCTCTTGTGAACATAGTCTTAGATGGTTCACTTAGAATGGCAAAAACAATTCTATATACTGCTTTGTGAAGAATGAGTTATTTTTAATGTCCTTTTTTTTGCAAAATTTTGCATTGCTTGTAGACTGGGCTATAAGCGATTAAGTTATTGAGGAAGCATTAAGTACTGTTATCTTCTGTTCTGTAAGACGCTTTTTTTAAAAATCTGTTAAATAGGTGGGAAGTGAGCAGTCTGATAATACTATTATAAAGCAATCAGCAGCTCCCAGGTTAGTATTGTTCATTCTCCTAACACAATTCTGTATTGATGTAACAGCTAGTGTTACATTGCTATTCTACCAAAATAATAGTGTAGGCACTGTGCTAGCAGTATTGAGGCACACCCAAATAACTAGAATTTCACAGGGCATTGTCAGACTTTTACTATCACAAGTTTTTCAAACTGAGTACCTAAAGTTATTCTCTTAAATTCATAATTATGTGCATAAAATAACGAACTAGGTTTTCAGAGGACCAAGCATCAACACTCAAGATACACAGCATGTCTAACAATAAAACCACTCATTTAGATTGTTCTATCCATATAGTGAGGCACCAAAGTTTGAAAAATGTGATTTAAGAGTTTTAATAACAGTTCAAGGACACATCAGTTACAAAGGAGTGGATTTGGGCTTCCTTATTACCTTCCCTAATCCAGGTTTCAAAAATCTCGAGGTGTTTCTTATTATAAAACATGTACTTTCTTGGGACAGTGTATATAAAAGAGTACACCATTATAAACATAATCTTTTGTATAAGCATATGTGTATTATTTATTATTGGCCCACAAAAGCATATTTCTCACGAATTAGTGATAACTCACAAGATATTAGCCCTTATAATTACTTTTCAGGTTTATGAGGAAATTACATTTAGGCACCATATTCTGACTGAAGAAAACTTTTGGAATTGAAGATAGATGATACTATTCAAACAGTGTTGTAGTTGCCAGATCAGAAGAGGTTTGTCTTAAAGACATATAGGCAAATTTGTGTCAGTGCAATTGTATAGTTTTCTTTCAGACCATATCCTTCACATCCATGTGATTCTAGCAGTTGTATGGACAGATAATAGAATTTACAATAAAATCTTATGTCTTGTGAAATGAACTAACCTCTATTAAAATAACTATTATTTATATTCCAGTAGTGCCAAGGGTCACATTCAGAATTAGTGATTGTGTTTACACTTGGCATAGCGTAGTGACTTCATTTGAGTTGCACCACAGACATGAAGTAGATCCATATATTTTTCCACTTCACTTCCTACTTCCACTGATAACTGCAGCGGGTCAAAAAGCAGGATATAATTTTTGCAAAAAGTTACTCTTTTTTAGTCAGAATTTTTTAAATCTTTCAAGTTTCAAGTCTTTTCCAAATTTGGATAGTCACAATTTTTCAACCAGCTGTACTAACAACTAAATGAATCCAAGCCAGTTTCATTTTTCTGACCGTTATTTGTGATTGGTATGAAATGCTATACTGTACAAAAATAAATTGATCTTATTTGATTGACAAGATTACTTTTAAGAGCTTGAGCTTTCTCCAAGGAATTTTATCAAGACCAATTATACAAATGTACATGAGTGAAAACAATAGCTGAAAGAGACGTTATCGTTAAGCGTTTGTCTACATATTAACACATTCTGTTTCTAATACTAATTATATTAATTTCACATGTACTGTATAGTATCTTCTTCACTGAGTTGGTTACACTTAATAGTTTTATTTAGAATATGCGGGGAATGTCCAAGTTGTATACGGCAATAAGTAATATCCTGCAGATTACCATTAGTATTTTTTTGTTCACCTAGTTTGAAACAGTCTTACATGTTCATTTTCAGCTTTTCCTTCATGCATATCTTTGTCTAAGTTAATGGTTCATATTTATTTTCATTTGTCCATTAATTTCTTCCTCTTCAGGTGCAATCTAGCCCCTGTGGTGGAGTTTGCTGCAGATGTGGGAACTAAATCTGATTTTATTACCATGAATCCATCAGTTGTACAAAGAGCATTTGGAGGCTTTCGGAATGAGAGTGACAGAGAAAAATTTGTGCATAGACTATCCATGCTGAATGACAGTGTCCTTTGGATTCCTGCTTTCATGGTCAAAGGTGGAGAGAAGCATGTGGAGTGGGTTAATGCATTAATCCTTAAGAATAAATTGAAAGTGCGAACCGCCTATCCATCACTGAGACTTATTCATGCTGTCAGAGGGTAAGTGTCTGTAAAAGACTAGTCTGTCCTTGCCACAATGGAACTTTGTAATCAAAATTTCCAATAGGTAGAAAAAAGCGCTAGTAAACCTATAAACAGGTTTATGGTATTTTTATTTTCATAATGGTTTGGGTTTGTTGATAAAGCTAAATGTATTTGGTAATGTGCTCTGCTCATTGAGTCTGTTGAAAGATGAGCATAGGGTGTTTTAGCTTAGCAACATTTTCTCTTCCACCTTCATGAACCCTTTTGAGGAATACGTTCCTCGTAAGGAGATATTACTGAAAAATGAGGTGAATTCAAACCATGGGTGGATAGAGGACAGTAAAAATGCTTCATAATCTCTATTGGGCCAGGCTGTGGAGGACAAAAAGGATTGGTATTTCCTCAAGTACGGTTAGATTCCAAGGTGTAACAAAGGAGTTTGTCTCTCAGATCTAAAAAATTATCCTTTCAGAATGTTCTCTGTTTTGTTCTCTGATTTGTTCTGAATCGAGAGCCACTTGGGTCATCCAAAACAGACAGCTGATCAGAATAACTGAAAGCTTAAAAGCAGTTGTTAAAAGCTATGCATGTGTCCAGTGGAGCTAGGAGATTTTTTTTTTTCCAACCAGCTAAAACTGAGTGTGCTTTTTGGATGTGGACTCTGTAATTGTCATTCATGTCTGTTCTTTTAAGATTAGATTAGCATGAGATACACATGGGATATATCTTAAAATCACAAACTGAAGTTGGTGCAATATTTCAACTCCTTTATTAAGTGCAGTGTCTTACTGCGTATATATTTAATCCATGCTTCATGAACTTCACTAGTGACTTGTGGGTTTCCAGGTGCTCTTTAGGCATTTGTTTTGAATATACAGCCCTCAACAGCTCAGAACCAGCCTGTGCCAGACCACATAGCTGAGATCAACTGAGAGTTTGAGCTGAAGTCTCAATAGTAAGCCCAAGAAGGAGCTACTGTGGCATATTGCTTTCCATGAAAAAAGCTTTACAGTTTGCTCACCTTACAGTCCAAAACAGGTTAACTTTGACTACCTTCAGATGGCAAACCTGGCCTTTATTTTTATTACAGGCATTTGTGAATACAAGGGCAATTGTTAAAGGAGGCTTATTTGGGTTTGGATTGCCTGGTTTCCTGTTGGTGGGTTGTTTTGAATTACACTGCTACATGTAATTATAATTGGACACTGATTTTGTTGAATTTTCACATTGGTTATATGATACTTGCAATATATGGATAGGTGACCTTTAATATACATCAGAATGAAGTGTACATCAGAATGAAGAAATAAAGAACAAAGGTCCTCTTATTGATTAATAATTGGTTAAAAGACTGGAAACAAAGAGTAGGAATTAATGGTCAGTTTTCAGAATGGAGAGCGGTAACTAGAGGTGTCCCCCAAGGATCTGTGCCAGGACCAATTCTATTTAACCTATTTATAAGTGGTCTGGAGAAAGGGGTAAGCAGTGAGGTGGCAAAATTTGCAAATGATACTAAACCTCTCAAGATAGTTAAGACCAAAGCAGACTGTGAAGAGCTTCAAAAGAATCTCACAAAACTAGATGATTAAGCAACAAAATGGCAAATTAATGTTGATAAATGCAAAGTAATTCACATTGGGAAAAATAATCCCAACTATACCTACAAAATGATGGGGACTAATTTAGTTATAACCACTCAAGAGAGATCTTGGAGTCATTGTGGATAGTTCTCTGGAAACATCCACTCAATGTACAGCAGCAGTCAAAAAAATACACAGAATGTTAGGAATCATTAAAAAACCATAATACACCCACATTTGTAATACTCCATACAGATGTGATCACCTCATCTCAAAAAGACATATTGGCATTGGAAAAGGTTCAGAAAACGGCACACAAAATGATTAGAAGGTTTGGAATATGTGCTATATGAAGAGAGATTAAAAAGACTGGGACATTGCATCTTAGAAAAGAGGAGACTTAGGAGAAACATAATAGAGATCTATAAAATCATGACAAGTATGGAGAAAGTGAATTTATTTGTTCCCATGACATAATAACTAGGCGTCGCCAAAAGAAATTAATAGGAAGTATGTTTAAAACAAACAAAAGGAAGTTTTTCTTCACTCAGTGCACAATCAAGCTGTGGAACTCCTTGCCAGATGATGTTGTGAAGACCAAGACTTTAATAGGGTTAAAAAATGAACTGTAGAAATTCGTGGAGATTAGGTCCATCAATACTTGTTAGCGAGAATGGGTAGGAATGGTATCCCTAGTCTGTCTGTGCTGGAAATAGATGACAGGAGAGGAATCACTTGATGATTACTTGTTCAGTTCACTCCTTCTGGGACATCTGGCATCGTCCACTGTCAGAATACAGGATACTGGGCTAGATGGACCTTTTGGTCTGACCCATTATGGTTGTTTTTATCTTCTTAAATTAATCATTTAAAGTAAGTCCAATTTCAGTTACCAAACAACTGCTGTCAAGTCCATCTATAGTATTAATAGCTTACATTTTCAAAACCAGTGATTAAAGGTCCTTACATTTTGGATGGTCAACTTGAAGCAACTTGAAGGATTTTAATGTTTAGAAAGCACTGTGCACTTACTCTCTGACAATCAGGTCCCTTTATTGCATCTTAAATTGGGAAACTATAACTGAGTCACCCAAAATAGCTAGTTAGCTTTGAAAATTTAGGCCAGGTAGCATTCAGGTATATTTTGATTAAATTTAGAGTAGATATTCTTCTAGATTTCTTAGTAGACAGTGTCTGATGGGGTGAAGCATAGGGATTCCCCGTGGGTTGTCACCTGGTATTCTGATCAAGCCACTGCCTGCCTCCTGGGGCTCCCCTTCATCCTGTCCTTCTGGGCCAGAGGCTCTGGTCTTCCGCAACCAAAGCACAGAGTTGCGGTTACTGTCTTCCTGCAGTGTAACACAGACACTGAACCAGCTTTGGGAGGACTCAGCTATCAGTAGGGATATCAACATGTAGACAATGATGCGATTAACCAATGAGTCTGGGCTCATCAGTTAATCCTGTTGTCTACATACATTCTCCCTCTTTCTCCCCTACCCCCTACCTTTTGCTGCCTCTGTATCAGAGGTAATAAGGCATAGGGGAGGCGGGAGCTTGCTCCGTGAACCCGCCTGCCCTCCCTTGCTGCCTCCCAGGGAGTCCTTGCCATCCTGCACTTGCTGTTTCCTGTCAGAGGCAGCAGTGTGGGGGAGAGGGAGGCATGGGAGAGTGCTGCAAAGCAGCCTCTGTACACTGTGGGCCTGAGCTCTCCACGGACTGGGGTTGCTGCTGCCCTATGCTACTGCCTCTGGATGCTGGCCCTGCAATCAAATAATTGTGTAACTGCTAAAATTTGATGCGGTCACATGACTATTCAATTATATGCTATCCAACATCCCTAGCTATAAGGCCACCGATGGCACCCAGAAACACAACCCCCAAAAGAGGACAAAACCCCAAATCTTCCTTACTCTGTATAAAAGTTTTACAGAGAAAGCTTATAAGTTCATTTTCTTTATTAGTGAAAGAGAGAGAGGCACAATGGTTACTCCTCTCCACCTTTCCCCAAGTAACAATTATTTACACAGGTCTTGATAATAAACACTTCTGTTTATTAAGTGATTGCAAGTGAAAACAGACAGATCAAAATAAGTTACTAAGCCAAAATAAATGCAACACATCAGCTAATTCCAATAAAACTTGTTACATGCAAATTCTTATCCTTGTTTTTAATCTCAGGCGAAAGTTGATATTTTTTCTTACTTGGGCCCAGCAGCTTTGCCTTCATCCTTTCACTACAGTTCACTCCATGTGAGTCCTTTTAGGGTGGGGAAACAATTTCAAAAGCTAAGTCAAGACAAACACCTGATTGCATTCTATTCCTAAAACAGACTTCCCCCAGACTGGGAACCCTTTGTTCAGTCTCCACAGCTTCATGGAAAAGTACCAGATTCAAGATGGATTCTAGCAGGGATGTTAAATTGCATTTTAATCAACTAAAAGAGTAGATGATGGAATTTCCATTGACTACTCAATGAGTCAATAAGGGCCGCAGTGTGATTACCTCCTGGCCCTGGGAGCCAACCCTGCTATGGCTCTGCTTTTTAAATGTATTAAGAGCCAATCGGCTCTTGATACATTTAAAAGGCAAAGGCATAGTGGGGGGACCAGGCATGAGCTGCTACATCTCTGCCTCCGGCCCTCCACTACACCTCTACCTCCCCTGTATCCCACAGAGGCTGCTGGGGGGAACTGGCTTTTAAGCGAGCTCCCCACCCCCCCCCCCCCCCCCCCCCCCCCCGCTGCCTCTCTCTGTTAGAGACAGCAAAGGTAGGTGGGGGAGGAGGGCGACTAGTAGTCACTACTCGACTAACCCAATAAGCATATGCTTATCGGGTAGTCGCCTAGTCGCTTACATCCCTAGATTCTAGTGCAAGGTGGCATGGTCACATGTCTTTCTAGGACCAACTGCAGTTTGAGCTTACAGGAAAATAAAACCACAGCTCAATGGTTTGAGCACTGAGCTATTAAGTTCCTAAAGTATCACTAATGGCCCTCATTAGCACATTTAAAATTAAAAACATATTCACACTTCATATTTTTAATTTCATGTACAAGAATGATACATGCGCAAAAATAGGATAT